CTTAGATTTGTGTAGATCAGTAAATCCTAAAATTCAAACGAAATAGCCAAATTTGTGTTTTTCTTTCTAGATTCCTTACTTTGAGTTTGAAAAGCTGCAAAGCAAGACCAGCATGGTGGAGTATCTACACCAAAAGATCTTCCCTCACACCTACAGGCTCAGCTGGTGACCGAGAAACAGTCTCACTGTGGTTGGAACTTCAGGGCTTTTAAAAAGAAACTCCATATTTATTTTTGCTAACAGTCATTGCCAAGTTAATGTGTTTTAAGTTATCACCTGCACATGCACAAATTTAACTGGACAATAAACTGTCTTTTGTACAAAAAAATGACTTGATGGAATGATTTCTATATCACACAAGGATGAGTATTGTTTGAAAAATATAATTTATTTTGTTTTTTTGCAACATGGTGCCGCAAAAACTGTACAAAGATAATAGAAACCTAATTCCAGCAATCACAAGCTTAGTTATAAAGAGTCATAAGCAAAACCTTTAATTAAAGACGCCCGATTTTTACCTTACAGTTTCTACCATTCATTGGACACAAGATGCTTTGGTTTTTATTGCTGCGTTTTTCAGCCAGGAGTGTCAGTTGGATAAATAGAAAAAAGGGGCTATGATACATGTAAAACTAGCATGATGTATTTTCCTTTAAGAAGCTGGGATCTGAGGAAGGCCAAACTCGTCTACCAGGACACCATCCTGAAAGAAAAAGAAGGAATTTCCATGAATAATGAAAGTATAACAAACCAAGAAGCTATAAACTAAATAAAAATTTCACAGGAAAGTGTAAAAATCATGTGATCAGTACCCTGTTTGACTTGTCACCAGGCAGGCCCTCTGGGATGGAAGGAGCAGATGAGGCCTCATCGAGGTAGGAGCTGTCGTCATCCATCAGCAGCTCGTCTCCCAGAGCATCCAGCTCTGTGGACAGAACAGCATTTAAAGATCAGGAGCTCTACCACTTTAGATCTGTGTTTAAACTTTCTACACACGTGAATCCTTAAAAAGTCCTGTGTGTGCACAGGGATGTCAGTGGAAAAACTAGAAGCCATTTTTATGAAACCCACACACTGGTCACATATGCTGCAAAGATAAGTCTTGACCAGAACTGCTGCAGCTTTGTACACTGTAATGTTTTCTTTTTTAATTCTGTATATGTGAAATCCAGGCATATTGGTGTTTTCCCGACCTGCTTCCAAGTCGTCCTCGTCGATGTCAGGTGTGCCATAGCTTCTGCTCATCGCTTCCTGGATCTCGTTGGCATCCTCCATCATGTCCTCCAGCTGGTCTTGGAGATCCTGAATATTTAATAATAAAAAAAAAAGGTCGAAGCATTACATTTGTGTCAGCAGCATCTTTGGTAATTTGATAACCAGCACACTCTGCTCATATTTAATCTGGGCTGTTATTAATCCCTGCTGGCCAATCACCATTAAGGATCTTTCCTGTACAGGACTTATCTAACGTGTGTATTTAACAACCAATACAATAGTTTCTGGGGTTTTCTGGATGTAGCTGCACAGGCAGAGACCACCCTCACTAATTTGTGATGCACAGCGACTCATTTTGTTCTATCAGCAAACCTTCAAGGGTTAAAGAGTTAGCACCTAAGACAGGTAACTGAATTTCAATAATAATAATAATTAATTAGTTAATTATTAACTAACAGCCAAGTAGCTACATTAACTGCTGTTAAAATAACCTGAAAGCATACCTCAATTTTATCAATCTTCACATTCTTGTAAGCCTTCTTCATGTCTTTGAGGCCAACTTTCATGGCATCAACCTAAAAGAAAAAAAACAAAACATGTTAGCACACATAATATTTTCTTCTGTAACTAAGATCTGGTCCAGTTCCTGTTCTCTTACTGTAGTTTTAGTGTCTTTCAGGTTTTGGATCGCGTAGTTTGTTTGCTCCATGTTGAATGACTGCTGCATAAGATTGTCTCTCTGGCCTTCATACCTTGGATCCGTGAAGAAATAAAGTTATGAGAGCAATCAAGGCAGCAGCTTAAATAACTTACCCTTTCTTTAGGAAGTAAAGGTACTCACATTCTCTTCTGCTTGAGCACTCTCATCGCCTTTTGCTTGACCATGTTCTAGTGGGGGAGAAAAAGGACAAACTTGTGGAAAACCCCCTCACAAACTGTAGGAATTATTTTAGAGAGGTTTATTTTGATCTTGAGATGTCGTACTGAAAGTTTTTAAGAGACACCAGCCTCTTTGTCTTACAGTACAACCGGACAACAAGACTCACCTTTGAAGGCCCATCTCTCATCTTTTTCATCTGATCTTTGTACTTCACAAGTTCAGCATCTAGTCTGGCGATTTTCTTATCAATGGACTCCGCCCGAGAATCCACCTGAAAGTAGAAACATGACATCAATTTTAGTTGATCTCTGACAGTAGGACCATATTATTATTGGAGCTCTTTTTAAAGAACAACACAGTAATGAATTCGGTTTTTCCTGGTTCAGAATAGGCCATTAAATGGTCCTACAGATGTTGAAGGGCATCTACAGACTATGCTGCCTATGTTTTATACCTCCGTGGTAGCAATAGTGGTCTTGTATGCGACAGTGTGCTGGGGCAGCTGGGTGAAGGCAGTTGATGGCAACAGGGATTTCCCTTGGGATCTATTTTATCTCATCTTATCAGAAACTAAGCATTTTCCTGTTATTTCTGGTCATTTGGTGGACACTGTAAATGTATTTTATGTTACAGTAAATTAAAAACAAAATATTTTTCTATCACAGCCGTGGTAATTTTTCTGCGGTGGGCGCTAAAACTCATCATCATTAAACACGTCTGACAACCAGTTTAACTGGTTCATGTCTGCTTATTCTCTTTGTTTTACTCGGAGAACAACATGGTTTGAGCTCAATCACAGTCAAATGGCCTAAATTCCTGCCCAACGTTACACAATGATGACCCATTACCCACACTAAGAACTGATTGTTTGCTTTGAGAACCTTATTTACCAACTGACACTGTCAACTCAAGGCGTTAGGTTTTAAGTCTACGAGACATTAAAAACATAAAAAAATAACATACGATTAATCTAGAAAATAATGTATATTTCCAAAAATTATATCTCCAATTAAATATGTGAACCCGTGGCCTGTTTGGTCCCCAGAAACTTGGCTAACACTTAGCTAACTGTCTTTGTTTACTTCGTTTAAAGATCCTTCCGAAAAGTTATTTCCGCCTCATACTTACGCTTCCGATGCAGTCCGTCAGGTTCGGTGGCGGACCTTTAGCTTTTCCTTTGCCAAATAAGCGATTCATTTCGGCAAAAATAAGGTGAAAAGTGTAAAAGAAGAGCTACGTTTGTTTGCCTGTCAAGAGTTCAGTGTCCAACTAAACACCCGGAAAAGCCCTTCCCATGACGTAAGGGGAGTCACATGGTCTTGACTCACCCGGCCACGCCCTCCTCAGATTACTCCTGTGCTGTTGTATTTTTGCTTGATTATTGGCCTGGCTCGTCTTTATATGGCGCAATTAAGTTCCTCAACTAATTCTTTTTCTCTCTCTCTTTTTTTTAGATAGCACTAATTCTAAAAATTAAACACAACTACACAAAATTTGTACAAAATTCAGGGTCCGAAATTAACTTCATATGATATATATGAAATATTCTATCATTTCATATATTATGTCTATTACCTACAGTAAGCTCAAGTATTCCAGTTATCCACACCACAGCTTGTAACTAAAAGCTATATGCCCCCCACTCCGCCCACACACTCTGATAATATTAAAATTAGGTACATCTTTGTAGACATAGCCTCGCCAGCCTGTTTAGCTCATTTTCTTTTATTTTCATTATGCTTGCTGCCTTCAAACAAACATGCTGTTAAAAGCATAAATAAATGCGGCCATCTGCTTTTTCCATAAAAGCACTTATTATTTGTAGAGCCCTTTTCAAAAGACAAGTCATTTATGAAGGAGAATACAACAGAACATGTAAATTAGGAAAAAAGTGTTAGTGGCTCAGAACCTGAATGTTTCCTTGTTTTACTTCACTGATAAAAAGTTTAGAAGAGTTTGTCCTTATCCAAACAAACAGAAATTTCATATGGATTGTTTAAAGCAAAATGACGCATATTTTCAGTATCAGACTACTGACTACCGACTCGGTACTGTGTATGTAAATAAAATTCATTTGACCTGAACTTAGAACATGAAGCTACATGAATCTAGTCTGTCTGTTCTCATTATGGCTTATTTCTACACATACAGAAATAGTCCAAAAACACTAAGTGCTGGAATTTGCCTACAGTAATTCAGTAATTCATACACTGCCATGGTAAGTCAAATCAATTTAATAATGTTGAAATATAAATGCTATGAACAAATCAAAAATGAGGTTACTACTACTACTACTGCTACTACTACTACTACTACTAATAATAAACGATTACGATTTTGTATCAGGTGCATTAATGGTGAATAATGATCAAATGATCTGGAGGTCTTGAATATTGAGGGACTTGTGGATGTATTATAATGAACATAATAAAAGAAGTCTGAGTCAGAAGCTTGTAATGTGGGAGAAATCATCAATCATCACCTGTTGTATCTTCTTATCCCGTGGTCTTGCAGAGGTGGCACAATTGAGATCCAGTATGTGAACACTAATATGGACTGCTATACGGAAGCTTCTGTTTATGCCAAGTTATGTGAATGCAGCTATTAATCATTGCAGTTTCTTTAAAATAAAAACCAAAACAAAGACCCCACATTGCATCCTCTTTCCTTTGGGGGGAGCTGATGGCTTACAGTAAAAAACTCTTAAACTGTAGAAGTCTGCAGAGTCACTGCCTCTAATAAGAATCTCTTCAAGGCTTCAACATCTATTAAAACAAGTCACCAAAAAGGAGAGAGATTTGTTTTCCTTAAAACAAACAAACAATGAGTATCCGCTATCCCCGAGCTTGTCACACTCCAAGGAAAGAATCATTGTGTATTTGTTAAACTTGTTTTATTAAGCTCTTCACAGACAAGAATGACGACAGGAGAAGCCAATGTACAGCATTAAACTGTGAGCACAGAGATGAAAAAGAAATAAATAAAAACTACAACGATGCCTCGATCACAGTGTTGATTCTTAGAATAACGTCTCTTATTTTTAGAACATCTGTGCTTTATCTATTTTTGTGTCCGTATACATGTGTCAGCAAGAGATTTATCAACAAGTATTAGCTAAAGATGCTTTTTTTTAATGAGATAGATGACTTTCATGTAGTATTTGCAGTACATTCAAAATAACAGCACAGTCCATGAAGCCTATGGCTGCTGATGTTGTCTTTACTATCATAGCAGTGATGATTAACATGCTACAAATACAGTATATTTTTATAAAGTCTGTGCAAAGATTTTCTTTTTGCAGTCTATACAAAATAAGTCTTTGTATAGAGACTGAGATACTGTACAGTTGTTAGAATATTCTGTATTTTTACTTGTTGAAAGAGCTAATCGGCTTATCAGACTGCACAACAATAACAGCATGACAGTTCAGCAGGACTACAGTATGTGTATCATGGTAAAAGCCATACACAAAGCACATGTCATTATTAGTTATATACCATAAAGTTAACAACTTATCAGTCTGGACACAAAGCCAGGGTCAAAGCTGATAGAGAGCCCTCTGTCAAATTTTAAATGCACATTCAAGTCCAGGATCTTCCATCCACATTCTCTCATTGATTAACTTGCTTTGATGCAGCTGAATGTTGCTTTTTGTTTTTTTCTTTGACTTTTACACAACTTCAAAGTCCAACATGAGTCAGTGAGTGCTCTCACACTGCGGTCAATCAGCACCATTCAGGCTCTGCACAGATGTGAAAATGTTTTTGGCACGTCTGCTGTCAGCGATTCATGCAAATATCACCGGCATGTCAAATGCATTGAATAAAAATAGCAAACATTATAATATGAAGTGCTGTTTGACCCCATCTAGTAATCATTCCTGAAGTCATTTTTCTGCACATTTTTTCCTGGACTTTTAAAGGCACATTTGGCAAATGAAAAATGATAGGAGGAAATTTTGGGAATAAACAGCATTTGAGAGACAAATGAATCAAAACTGATGAAACTTGATATGGGCCAAGTGATTTTAATCAGTCTCCTGCTCATTTACCCTATAATCGTCAGTTCTCCTGAGATATCTTAACATAACTATTTCATGACTGTGTGTGCAATATTGTGTAATGATGATTTTATGAAAGAATAATCTGCTGATTATTTTGCCAGTAAGCTCAATACCTATCCATCCATCTCCTACTTATTCAATTCACTGTTATAGAGGTGATGTAACATATCTCAGCTGTCAGTACACCCTGGAAAGGGTTGGCAGTCTAAATTAAACTTATGGCTAAATAAATCATCATTAAAACAGTAAGCAATCATAAATTTGTTTTAAAAATGTTTAATTAACTGTCATTTATGAAATCAAAATCCCATTTAGGATGCTGGATGGTGCGAATGTTTAATTTTTCCTAAAAAAAAACCCCTCCCTGAACAATTACTTAATCAACTAATTGTTGGACCTCCATCAACAGTAATCCATATTAATTATAAGCAGCACTTTCTTCTTTGACCTACTTAAACAGAAACAGTGTTTGGTTTACATCCACCTGCCAGGTTAAACCATAAATGCACAATCTTTGTCTCGACCTACAATCACAGGCTGCTGTGAAGGAAAGTGTCAGAAGTCAGAGGACACTAGGATGGATTGATCTGGATTTATGGACAACCACATCAATGATTATACCCTGGGTGATAATGAAAATGAAGTGAATCCAAAACCCAGTCTACATTACTGTTGTGATGTGGGTTAAGCCCAGGTATTGTGAGTCTTCTTTTCCAGTGTGGGAGATTGAAGACAGTTCCACTGCTAGTCATGTCGGCTTACCAGTCCCATCTGGGTTCTCCAGGGGAACAGCGGCCTCTCGCACAGTGCTGGGGGCCTTTTTGCTCCCTGACACCTTCTCCCCCTTCAGTCTGGCTGACAGGCAGAAGTCTTTGAAGCAGCGTTTGAAGTTCTCATCCAGAAAGGCGTAGAGGACAGGATTGAGGCTGCTGTTGGTGTAACCCAGAGCCACGCAGAAGAAGTAGGCGGCCATGATGGCGGTGGTTTCCGGCACGGTGACGAGAGCTTTGACCAGGATGAAGATGTGAATGGGCGTCCAGCAGACCACAAACACGGCCACCACGACCACCACCAACCGCGTGATGCGGCGCAAGTTGCGATCCTTCTCCCTCGAGCCGGACAACATTCGGACGCTCTTCAGCCTCAGGACCATGAGGGAGTAGCACACGGTGATAATGAGCACAGGCACGACGAAGGCAAAGACAAACACTAAAATCTTCATCAGTGTGTCCCACTTTGTGTAGGGATCGGGGAACTGCAGCGCGCACTCTGTTATGTCTGTGGAAGAACAGTGGAGAGAAAATAAAGTCCAAAGTGGCAATTTTATTTATATGACATGTTTTATAAAACTCAATGTAATTAACACTGAAAATAAAAACAGAAACACCTGTAGGTTTGATTATGTCTTAAGTGAGTGAAAACTTAAAAAAAAAAAAGGCATTCACCCACAGCTACCAAGTGTGAACAAAAAGGTTTAGAGTCTATTTTTGAAGTGCACTTTATGATAAATGAAATTCCACTTCACAATTTTCTGCAATCAAATTAGCCAAGTTGCTGTAGAATAGCTAATCTGCACTCAACAAGGGAACATTTTACTCTAAACGCTTTTTTTATTTTATTTCTTACGTCATCTATATTCAGGAAGGATGTGCTCAATTTGTAGCTAATGAAAAACTCTTCAGTGACAGATGGATTTGATATATTGAATATATTTCTGTTCTTAACATTTTATTAGTACATGCTTTGAGAGTATTTGCTATGCATAGAAAGTGGACAGAGACTCTTAAACTTTTTGTTAGACATTGGGGAAAGACTTCCTCACCGCTATTCGTCTGAGTACCGCCCAGCACAAAAGCCGGTATCCCTGCAGCCGAGGACAAGATCCAGATGCACACGTTTATCATCTTGGCCTTGAGGGGAGTGCGGAAATCCAGGGCTTTCACGGGGTGGCACACGGCCACGTAGCGGTCCACACTCATCATGGTGAGGGTGAAGATACTGGTGAACATGTTGTAGTAGTCGATGGAGATGAAGACCTTGCATACCACCTCGCCGAAGGGCCACGTATTCAGAAGGTAGTCAGTGCTCTGGAATGGCATCGTGGTGGTGACGAGGGCGTCGGCGAGTGCCAGGTTGAAAATATAAATATTGGTGGCCGTCTTCATCTTCGTGTACCTGTTAAATATGCACAACACAAAGTTGTCCTGTGAGGAGAGATACGGCACTGTCTCGGCAGCCGTTATTGCTTCGCGACTCCGTGGAAGACCTTTGTTCTGGGCTCATTATGAATTAAACATTGTCCATTAGTCCACGGTGCTTTCTTGAATTTGTAATGCAATCTTTCAGGCTCACACTTCATTGTTATGTGTAAAGTGGTGCTGATAGGAAACCATATCCAAAGAGCTTTATACAATTGTGTATTTGCAGATTTTTACTTGTGGTAGCACCCATGCAAAATAGGATACATGCAGAATTTTGGGGTTTGTGTAGAAATTTTAAAATGTTGATTATTTCTGCACAATTTACTTGCTATAGTATGATCTGCAAGAACCTAGAAGATTCACTTAAAAGAATGAACTTCTGTTCAAGATTACAGCAAAATTATCATAAAGAGCATCGGTGTTTCACAATCAAATTTTGGTTAGAATAAACTGCATTTGTGTCATGTTGGAGTAATCAGAAAAATTTGTTTCCAACTGGAAAAATTAATGTGAACTCCCCTCCATTTGAGATCATCCTGAAAATAGGCGTTATTTTGCACAATTTGCAGAGTTGCAGGTATTATATACCACAATATAGTGGGCTAAAGTAATTCAACTACTACTTATAAATGGTCTACTATTCACAAGCAGTAATCCAGAAAAAGAGACAGGTAAAACAATATTTCTTTATAATACAGCCCTCTGAAACCAGATATCATCCAGTTGCTTAAACAATGTACTTTTTAATTTAAGGAACCTATTAGCAACCAGCTACTTTAGCTAATCATGAAGACAAAAAACCCAAGAAAATAGTTGTGACCAGAAAAAAGAAGTTCAGTCTACCAGAAGTTCACTATTGAACACACTGCATGTCTTTTATTTATGGTGTGATTAACCCAAAATGTAGAAGCAGTAAATTAAATTTCAAGCTAACTAGCTGCTAGCTTCAGCTTTATATTCATAAATAAAGCTCAGTCCTCTGAGCAAAAGAGAAATTTATTTGTCATGATATCAAAGTTTTTTCAAGTTTACTTTTAGCCACTTGGGTTTAGTTCAGCAGGCACTGACCTTGATATGTGGATTAATGTCTTAGCAAGCAGCTATTGTGTTTTTTATACACATATAGCAGAGAATAAGCGATGTTATATTCACTGGGAGTTGTAAATACATTCAGTGGCTTTACTTCAGTATGTAACGTGTTCAAGTGCAGTTGTATACCAAATATCTAATCAGCCAATCACATGGCAGTAACTCAGCGGATCTAGACATTGTAGTGGATCTAGTTCAGTCTGAGAATAAGTCTGGAGAAAAATGTGATTTAAGTACCATTTTTGTGTCAGATGGGGTAGTCTGAGTATTTCAGAATCTGCTGATCTACAAAGGACAACCAGTATAGGATTTAACAAAAAGAGAAACTATCCAAATCAACAGTTCACTGATTGAAAATATTTTGTTGATACAAGAAGCCAGAGCATAACCCTGACTTTTTCAAACTGACAGGTGAGTAACAGTAATTCAAGTATCCACTCATTGCGAACAAAGTATGCAGAAGAGTGTCTTTGAATGTATAACATATCAAACCTTGAGGCAAATGGGCTACAGCAGCAGAAGACCACAACGGCTGCCACTTCTGTCAGATAAGAACAGGAAACTGAGGCTACATTTCACATAGACTCATCAAAAGTGAAAAATAGATTGGAAAAACCTTGCCTGGTTTGATGAGTAAGTGTTACTGCTTCTCCAACTTTTGCATGGTAGGGTCAGAACATGAAAACCATTATCCACCTTGCCTTGTATCAACTGGCTGGTGATGTATAATGGTGTAGGGCATATTGTCTTGTCCCCCTTTGAACTCCTCTGAGCACTGCAGCCTACCTGAGTATTGTTGCTGACCATCCCTTTACGACCATAATGTAGCCATCTCCTGATGGCTTCTTCCAGCAGGATAATGCACAAAGTTCAAATCATCTCATACTGGTTTCCTGAACATGACAATGAGTTCACTGTACTCAAATGGCCATTTAGAGGCCAGGGGGTGAAATGGTAGATTCACATCATGGATGTGCAGCTGAAAAATCTGCAGTAACTGTGTGACGCTATCATGGCAAAAAAGACCAAAATCTCTGAGGAGCTTATGTCAGATTGTTGAATCTGACATAAGGAATAAGAGCACATCTAAAAGCGAAAGATGGTAAAACGGGCAGAGTTTGGCCATATAAAACATGGCATTTCTGAAAATCAGACAAGTGGCCTAAACATCTATTTTGTGACCCAAATTGACTTTATTACATTTGAATAATTGCATATATTTCTTCCCAATAAATCAGCATTAAGCATCTTCTTCCTTCAGCTGTTCTCTGTGGAGAAACATTAAAATGTACACTCTTGTCTGTAAAGTGATGTGAAAAAGCTCGCTCCTGCAGACAGGCGAAGCCATCAACCTGATTTGAGGTAATTGTTGTCGAGGAATTGAAGCATTCTGGATGGCACTGCAGCAGTTCACGTTACATCAGATAAGATTTGTTGCTCACACAGACCATAAATAAAGCCCAATGAGGTGTAAGCATGTTATTGGGTTGACAAAGTACCACTGGTTTCAGACGTAATTAATTTTATGCCTGCCAGGCCAAACTTGATGAGAAATGTATAGAAACCCATTATATATCCGGGAGGTCTTGCTGGAGAGTTGCCATTCATAAAGTTGGCAGGTTTCATTTTCTGGAGGAGGTAGAATTAGCTCTCTGTCACCAAGCTTTTGAACATTTAATGTCAGATTAGAAATGACAACATTCCCTTTCTTTGCCAAAATGACGTCTTGTTTTCTTTTTTGAGACTTGGGGGTTTAAAAAAGATCGTTCTCTATCTGAATGCTGTCTCATACTATTTTAAATGCCCATTTTGTCAACTCTTTCATGAGCTTAGAGCATCACACCTTTTTTTCAGTGTCTCTGAAGCACATCCAAAAATAAAATGCAGGCAAAAACAAGAACTGTGACTAACACCAGATGGCCTGGAGGTCACTGTGAAAGCCCAAGTGCTTGTTACTTACTATGTTATTCCAAAGCAATAACATTTGCAAAGACAGAGAAGAAAAACATTCCTCTGGCTGGATCTTGATTTCTTTAAAAAAATATGACACAATAGCATCTTTTCTCTTTTCTTTTCTCCATAGAAACAGAGGAGTGATTTCTGGCACACCATGCGGATTTATTATTTATACTTTATGGTAAATGGTAAATGGCCTGTATTTGTATAGCGCTTTACTAGTCCCTAAGGACCCCAAAGCGCTTTACACATTCAGTCATCCACCCATTCACACACACATTCACACACTTTATGATGTTATACAAAGTGGGGGAGAAAAATCCTTACCTGATAATCACATACATAACGAGGCAGTTGCCCAGCAAGCCGACCACAAACACCACGGAGTACACTGCGGTGATGATGGGGATGATGGGAGACATGCTCTCCTGCTCCCAGCTATCATCATCGTGGGTCACATTACGGCTGTCAGAGTATCCGGATACCCAAGCAGTTGAATTCGCCGGACAGTCTTCCAGCAGCGAGGAGAGGCACTTGGTGTCTTCTTTGTAAATTTCAATCGGAGTGCTTTCCATTTTGACACCTGTTTGTTGTTGGGCTTGGAGGAAAAAAATCCTTTCAGGTTAAGACTTTTAAAATCGAGTTACTGATAAATTCTGCGCGTTGAATTCAGAGATGTAACATACGGCAGGTAAAAAAAAGATATGGTGATATCGGAGCAACTGAGCTGCAAAAAAAACATCTAGAACATCTTTACTCAGTTATAAAAATGAAAAAAGTTTGCACGATCAATTAATTAATGCAGAAACATCACACCTACACAAACTTCACTTTGGTTGTGGAGACGCGCGCAGATCTGGCAAAACACGTCCGGTAAAATACGCGCTGTGCTGCGAATCGTTGAGGGGAAAACGCGCACTGTAATGTGAAGCTTGCAGTTTACTCACCTTAATCACTCAGAAAAAGAGAGAGGGGGGAGAAAGAGACGACGCTGTTTTTATTTTTTAATATATCCTCGCAGGTATAATTCAGCCCGGCTTGTTTTGTTGCCCTGGTGAAGGTTACGGCTCATCAAAGTTTGGGGATGGTACTGCGCGCCCGGAGAGGAGCAGCGGCAGCTTTGCGGACCCTCGTGCACACGCACTGATGGAGAAGTGGCGCGCAATCAGGCTAGACCCACCACACACACACACACACACACGCCTACAACATTCACCCAAAATATGAGATGACAGAGCGATGACAATAACCTGCAGGCACAGCTTCCCACAATCACCATGTCACAGCCGAGTAAAAACTGTTGAGCATAATGAAGTAAGATTTGTGCATTAGAAGCACTGGAAAGGTTTAGACGAGATTAAAATTGCATCTATGTTGCAGTTTATTAAAAAAATGGTCCTCTAACGATGTACAGGGGCTCGAGGAAATTCTCCGTGGGCAAAGAAAACACGTTTTTCCTTTTAAATTGTGAATGTAGGCGAGGGTGCAACAAATACAGCCTCGCTGATGTTCAGGTGTGTGTGTGTGTGTGTGTGTTCAGTGATGGAGGTCATAAACACTTTAACTGGACACAGCACTGCGCATTTCGGGCCATTTCTGCTTTGGTGGACAGAGGAGCCTCAACCCGGGGACAGAAAAGGGGGGATGATATATGACCAAGGTCCAGCACAGCCAGCACTCAGACCACTCCAACAAACAACCAGAATGACCCATCATTTCACCCTCAGTGAAAGGAAAAGCCATTGGCACTGGATCTCATTTTGCTTCCCAGCATTTCAAATGTTCTTGATTCAAAGTCTAATTTTGATCATTTTTAGAATCCATATTTGTTTTTGTTTTTTTTAAAAGATGTTTTAAAAAAAAAAACATCAGTTGTAGTGTACACTGTTGTTTTAGACCTCTCTCAGTCTGATGCATTGTGCTTAGCTCTGTTTTTATAAAGGATCTCCTTCACTGCGAGTGCCAAAAACAGCTCTCTTGGCTCTATGGCTCCTGACACTACAGGCTGTCGGTAGAATAACTGTGATGAGAGAAGAGTGTTAAATGGCAGATTTGTGCAGCTCTCTTCTTTAATCCTTTAGAAAAAAGATAAAACCTGCTCAGAGTTGCTTTATGAACTGGATACTGAATGATTATGACAGTAACTTGTATACAATAAACCGAAGTTTAAACCGAAAGAAAATTGCTTCTGTTTGTCTACAGAAAAATCAGAGAAATCACTGAACATAAAGGGATTTCATCCCATCTGTTGGTGTGGTTGATCATAGCCCCTTTTAACAGAGCGTTGTTATTCCAGAATAGACTATTTAGCATATTATTCATTGCTTAT